TCAAGTGCCACATCCACGCGTCTTTTGAACGCTTCCAGGAGCGGTGACTCCACTGCTTCCCACATGTGCCAGCCCAGCTGGTTTCCCCCCAAAAAACACTCCCACCCCTGAAGCTGTGCCTCATCATCTCTCACGCTCCCACCCAGCCGAGCTGGTGCATCACTCTGGAGAGAGAGAACAAGTGGTCCCGGGGGCTGCAATCATTAATCTGGGCTTGTCAGCACTAAACAAGAAACAATTAAAGTTTTTAAGTAGAGAGAGCTCAGCTTTTTAATCCCACAGTTATGATTAGCATGGAGAATATTTAACAATTTGCTGAAGACACAGAGAAGGGAGATGGGACAATCCTCATGGCTACTCCTGATGGAAGGGTATCCCCAGGAGGGATGGGGAGGTGACAAGATCCCAGCACTACAAACCACAGGGGTGATGGTGGCACAGGGGATGTTGTGGGTCCTTACTGCTGTCACTGGGAAGAGCAAGTCCCCCATCCTGCTCTACTCTGAAGGATCTAGTGAAAGAATACACACATTTTCTTCAGCAAAGAGGCTGCTGTTGACTGCCTGAACACACCTAGGAATATTCCCACTCACTCCTGTGAAGTTTCTTCTCAGGGAACAAACTTCCCAGATTCCCAAAGCACAAGGGAGGAACGTTCTCAAAGCAGAGGGTTTGCCATGAAACCACTTCCCTGGGCCCATGCCTTTGAAGACACTAATTCACAAGAAGCATCTAATTCACAGCGGATCCAGGAGGGATGAGGCCTCTGAGAATCCAAACCGAAGCATCTAGGCCAGGTTTTCCTTAGAAAAACACCGTTTCTTCCCTAAATTTCCTGCTAATATCCCCCCCCCCCCCCCACCTCCTCCCTCTGAGCACACACGTGCTCTTTCTAAGAGAATCCTAACGCTTGCAATCTGTCATTCAAGGGGAGGGGGGGGAAAAAAAATAGCAAGAGCCAAGCACAGCGATGAATAAAATTATCCCTGCGCATATAAATGTGCAATATGTAAATGAACGGAGGAGGAGGAGGAGTGGGGTGCGGCACAGGGCTTTGTGTGAACCCTCTGCACGTGCTGGGTTCCACAGGAATGGAAGAAACCATCGGGAGCTGGGATTTTTTTTTCAGCCCCAATATCTCATTTATTAACCTAACTAAGGAGTATTTTTATTCGTGAAAGAACCTGAGAGACATTCATCCCCAAGCACCCTCCTGGAAAGCAATGCTGTCCTCAAGGCAGGTATACAGCATTATTTTCAGGGCAGCCCTGGCTTTGAGGGAGAAATATAACACACTTTTCATGTGTGGCAGAATATTTAACCCCATTGTTTCGACAGCAGTCGCTCCCTGTGCAACAAACACGGCGACTTTTAAGTGCTAATTTCATTCCACACACAAAACAAAATGGTGTCTTCACTTACTTATCCTGGGCTGGGAGGTTTTGCTTTCTTTTTATTATGTATTTTTCACATTACACTTGCTAATAAAGCCACCGTTGTAAAAAAAAAAAATATATTAAACAACATAAATTGAGGTTAAATGTGCTGATTTTAAATATGTTCTCAGCCAGTGCTAAACAAGAGGTGACACAGGCAGGAGGGGAGAGCTGATTACTTATGCTGACTGTTACTTCACCCCTCAGAGCCACAATGACCTTAGTTTTCTTAATCACCAGACTATTCAGCAGAGTGGAAATTGCATCCACATGGAATATTTATCACCCTCTGAATCCAGCCAAGTCTCCATACCCAGCAAACCCAGATACCAACAAGTGAATGACCTCAGATCCTCTGGACAGAAAACCAACACCCCCTGGAATGTGTTCCTGGGGGTTTTTACCAAAAACAGACTTTTAAACTTTTCTGTGGATGAAAAGCTGACTTGGTTACCAATCAGCCAGGTTAAGAACTTTAAAAGTTTATATTATCACAGAATCATGGAATGATTAGAGTTGGAAGGGACCTTAAAGATCATCTCATTCCACTCCCTGCCACAGGCAGGGACACCTTCCACCAGCCCAGGTTGCTCCAACCTGACCTTGGACACTTCCAGGGATCCAGGGGTAGCCACAGCTTCTCTGGGCAACCTGTGCCAGGGCCTCCCCACTCTCATAGAGAACAATTTCTTTCTTATATCTAACCTAAATTTACCCTATTCCAGTGTTAACTCATTCCCCTTTATCCTGCCACTACAGTTCCTGAGGAAGAGACCCTGTCTGGTTTCCCTGGATCCCCATCAGATACAGTCAGGCTGCTGCAAATATCTGGTAAATGGTCTCAGGAATTAAAGCTTTAGGAAAAAAAAATTAAATACAAGAGACAATGAAGATTTTTATGTAGCAAACAGTCCCATCCTCTCTCCAGCCCCTCTGAGATAAGGAATTATGACAGGAATGGGGTAGTCCCACACGAATGTCTGGAAGGAGCAAACAGCATGAAAAGCCCCTACAATTGGATAATTTTTCAACAATTTTCCATGCTCTGAAGGTCCCTTTGAAAAATCCATGTGGCAACTGTCAGGCAGACAAAAGCCTCTCTTTGTAATTTCAGTCTCCCAGAATCACCCTCATCCCTCCTCCAGCAGAAATCACTGCTCTTATTGTGTAGGATTAACCACTGGAGAGCAGAACGAGGCACAGGAGAGGAGGAAACCACCAGAGAAATCATAGAAACACGGAATATCCGGAGTTGGAAGGGACCCACAAGGATCCTCACAGCCAGTGAGCCCGGGTGGAACCTCTCTGTGCATTCACCGTTCAGCTCCTGGTGCCTTATTTTCGTCTGAAAGCTCCCACAGTCACATGAAGATTTTTGAATCAAGTTGCTTATCAGTTCTGCCAGGTTTGGAGTGTGCTGTGATAGCATTTCCCAGGCTGCTGTAAAATCAGGGAGGGTTATGGGGTGAAACTGGGGAGAAACACATCAAAAAATAGCTCAAGCTGTGAAGTCGTCTTCACAAATCCAATATTAACTCCAAATTTTCTTTATGTTTTCGATCATGCTCGTTTACTGATCAATAGAACTGATGAGGGTCTTTATAAACTGGCAGTCAAAGTCCCCTAGCAAAAAATAAACCCCCAACTTTTTATCTGTTGAGAAATGTCATTCCCCAGCCATCTCATCCAAGGGAATGGCTGGAGCTGTGTCAGGGGAGGGTCAGGTTGGATCTCGGGGAAAGGTTCTTCCCCCAGAGGGTGGTTGGCACTGAACAGGCTCCCCAGGGCAGTGGGCACAGCCCCAAGGCTGCCAGAGCTGCAGGAGGGTTTGGACAACGCTCTGAGGGACAGGGGGGGATTGTTGGGGTGTCTGGGCAGGGCCAGGGGTTGGATCAGTGATCCATTGTGGGTCCTTTAAAACCCAGGATATTCTATGAATATTTCTGCTGCTGAGGGCTATTTTTCCTTTCTAAATCTCTCAGATTAGTAGTAAACAAGAGCCAGACAATAAGGAATAGTTGAGAAAACGTGACAAATACTCTGAATAACAAAGAGTAGAAGCGCCGCTTTCCCCGCTCCTTTCCACGTCACCCTATGAGAGCAAACAAATTCCTATCACAACTGCAGGAGGGTGGAAAAAAAACTCCTTCCTTTTACAGTACCAACAGTAAATTAAACTAATAATTTTAAAAATCTACTCCATCAATGCAAGGAAACACACCCTGAATTCAAAGTGTATCGGGAGCTCTGCCGGAGCCATCGAGACAGGGACGTGCAGAGCATGAGCAGGGGTTGGGACATGGGCCTGGGTCCAGCTGGAACAGGAGATCTCAAACAGATGGAAAAGGGAAAGTAGGCAAGCAGAGGACAGATGTAGTCACCTTCCCAACCCATTTCCAATGGAGTTCTGTGTGTGACCCCAAAATGGACCTCTGAACACATCTGTGAGCCTGCACTTTTCTTCTCTTGCTTCTTGTGCAATAACAATTATCAGCATTTCACTGACACCATCCTGGTTTGTACCCAACCTTTCCAGGTCTGCATTTCACAGCATATCACGTCCAGATCACACTGAGAGAGGAATGTTTCACCAGGTGAACACCTGCAGCTCTAGCCCACCCTATGTGAGGGTGAGCACAGGCTCCAGTGAGCTGCCCAACCCCTGGGCTTTGCAGGAATCCTCATCCCTCTCCTCGAATTTACCACCTGCAAAAGCCACTGCTGGAATTCCAGGTCTTTGGAGGAACTACTGGGATGCTCCAAAGAGCAGCCCTGCCCAATCATGGAATTGTGACTCTGCCACAATTCAGAATCTCTCCCTCTTGTTCTCAATTTCTCCTTTCAGCAGCAGGCAGGGGAAACGAAAGGCACCAAGTGTATCAGAGCTGCCCTGTGGGTCAGACTATATACAGGAAAAATGCTTTTTGGAGGTTTCCCTCAGTACAAGCACAGGACAATGGCTGCTTTTTCTTAAAGGTGGGCACAGAGTGGGGTCAGATTTTAGGCAAGACACAAGTTTTTCAAACTGTCACCAGCAGAAACACTTTTTTTTCAGGCTTTTATATGGATGTTGCACTCCAAGTGCTTTTGAAAATCCAACTACTTCACCATCTCAAACACCATTGTGTTCAAACCACAATCCCAGCAAATCAGATAAACAAAACAGTTTCAAAATATTGCATGAATTACAAAAAAAAAAAAATCACTTTGCTGTAGAAGTTTATCATTTCTCTGCTGTTCTCTTGGCATTCAAAATTTAAAGCATCAAGTTCTTTGAAATTACTGCACAGTGGAAGTGTTACAAAAACCACAACACAAAGCTGAACCAAAACACACTCTGCCAGAAATTTCTCAAAAACTAGAGAACATTTGTAAACCAGAGAGATCTTTTTTCAGATAGAAAGATTTCTCTGTGGGCACGAAATCCAATCCATCCCTGCGTTTGGCCAAAGCAGGCTGCTTTAACAAACAAGGGAATGACTTGGACACAGAAGCCTCTTTCTTACAGATTTTTTGCACCAATGGACCTTTAAAAGCCCCAGTGAAGTTTATTAAAGTCCTTACCAGTTAACTTCTTCACAGGTTGGAGCCGAACACTGATAGACTGATGTGTGAGTAAGGGGGAGGATGGAAGGGAGCGGGACATGCCCTCCATAATCCGAATGTGCTGCATACCTTCGGTCACTGGGAGAGGAGGAATAGCGTAGTCAGGTTCAAAAGCACAGTCGTTCTCTGTGGAGGTGCCTGGTGGGGAGAGGAAAAACCCAAATGAACTGGTTAGAAACCAAGGGAGAGGATCCTGCTTTGTCACCTCACTGGCTGCTTTCCTGTGTTCCTCTTGACCAGCCCTGACACTTCCCTTAAAGAAATTATGCTTTGGGACAGCATCTCAGAAGCCCTCTCTACGAGATGAACACCAGAACCATGAAGAATTTCTTTCAGGATTCTTAATTTGTCTGTCAGAGTCTTGAGAGTCGCCGGTTTTCAAACACAGCGATCAACACCAAACTGACGGCTTTTAGATTGGGGGTTTCTAATAAAAAACTCTTCCAGTTGAATTGAATTTCAAAATGTGGACCTTCAGCCCTCAAAAAATCCCAACCCCCAAATAAAATGAAAGGACAAAAGCCTCCAATAACAAGCACCAGCTCCAACTCTCCCCAGAGACACACAAAGCCCGTGTGGGGGTCGCAACACTGAAGATCCACATGTAAGACACAAAATAACATGAAAACAAGTGGAGATAGAACAATAAAAGCACATTTTGCTAATTGGTGCAATCAATATTAATGACAAATGAAGGGCAGGTGCTCCAGATCAGCAAGAGTCAGGAGCCAGAAGGTTCCTCCCATTAGCTGCAGACACGGAAAGCTCGGGGTCAAGGACACCTGGATCTCCACCTCTCATCAGTAAGATGAACAACCTAACCCAGACTACTAATAATTCATCTGCAAAACCAACTTGAAACTATTAACATGAATATTTCATTACTAATAATATGAGAAAGCCACATTTCTGCCACAGCGTTACGAGACGGATTTTGGCTTTTAAGCGCCTGCCGAAGTTTTCCCTCCACAAAGACATTCCTTATTGGATTTCCACTGGATAACTGTGCTGTTCTCAATGGCTTGTGAGAATATGTTCACAAGAGAAAATGCAACTGCTGGACAGAGGAGGAGACAGACAAAAGTGGGGGGAAGACAAAAGGGCAGTGCCTCGAACACGTGGTACTCCAGAGGAGACAATGAACTCGCTGTATTCCCGAAATCCAAAGGACAACGTGAACAACCTGACATATTGTTGGGAAAAACCCATATGGAAGTAACTGCCAGAAATCTTGGACTGGTTCCTGAAGGGTTCTAGGAGGTTGAAGCACCCGTGGCTGACATCCATCCATCCATTCCAGATGCCAACTTTCAGGAACATCTCTCGGCGGTTTTGTACCATTCTTTACAGGAAACCCAAACAAGCACTAACACCCTTCACACACACACACACACACACACACACACACACTGGTTTTGACAGCTCCAAACACAACTCTCTGCTCTCTGAACCCTCCCAGATATCACGAGCTGAACCTGCTGCTGACTCTGCCAGCCCGGTCGGGCTCCCTGGGGGCTCCAGGGAAGACAAACCAGCACTGCTGCCAAAACTGGCGCCAACAAAACCAGCCAACAACGGCTTTGTTCAAAGTGCATTTGGCACCAGGAACGAAAAAAAAAATTGCCACCACTGATTTTGATTCTTAAAAACAGTTTGAATTGCCTCAGGCTAGATTTTAGGGAACAATAAACCAGGGGCATCTCCTGCAGCTTAAGGTCTAGGAAAGACCTCTGAGTCCACGTGTGTTTCACTGGATATCATGGTGTAAGCTCCCAGTGTCTTTCATCAATCTGCCTAAAATCAGGGGCAGTATTTTATACAGAAATAAAGTAGCTATTGGTAAAGTTATCAGTAGCATTTTCCCTCTTAAAATTCAAATGCTTCGCAACAGAACAGCGAACTGGCAAAACTCCCACAAGGTTACCACCTTCATTCCACAGATGTCCAAAATTTCTCTCTGCCCCTCGGCAGAGTAAAGGAACACACACACAAAGTCACTGAAACAGTCTGAAATTTGTTCTGGTAAGGAAGAACACTGGGTTTATCAAACCCTGGAATCAGGGATCATTCATGGCTGAACTGGAACTTGGGCAGTTTGCCTACAGAATATACTTAAATAGAATGCAAAGTGCATATTTGAACTAATTAACTATTTCTTGGAGTTTTACAAGATAATCACAGAATTGTCCAGGTTGGAAAAGACCTTTAAGACCATCAAGTCCAACCATCCACCAGCACCATCGTCATGTTCACCACAAAACCATGTCAAGTGCCACATCCACACATTTTTCAAACACTTCCAGGGATGGTGACTCGACCACTCCCCTGAGCAGCCTGTGCCAGGGCTGGACAACCCTTTCCAGGAGAAAAATGTTCTTAATATCCATCCTAAACCTCTCCTGGCACAACTCGAGGCTGTTTCCTCTTGTCCTGCCAACGAAGCTTTGCAGACACTGTGACAATGGAGCATCACATGGCAAACGTGGAAGAGCAAGAAGACAACTGCCCCATTTCAGCTGGATGCTTTATCCAAGGATAATAAACCCCCTTAACCCACCAGCCTGAAAAATACCCATTAACATGTGCAGACAGTGATGGGGACAGAGCAGGGCAAAGTTAAAGACAATATTACACTGCAGAAAGTCTGCATCTACAACTGCCCCCACTGATCCAAAGGGAAACATGCAGCTCAGAAGCTCGTTTCTCCAAGAAGTTGGAAGCTTTTTTGACCCTTTTCCCCTTTTTTTCCCCTCTTATGGTGACACTTCTTGCTAGTTACTGCAGTTCCTTGACCCACTCAACAGGAACAGGTTTGGTGATTCCTGGACAAGGATTTGCAACAAATCCCCACGTCCTCTGCCCAAACCCACCCCCTTTCCCAGAGCAGAGAAGATCCTGAATATCCAGGCTGAAAGGGAACCTGAGAGAGCAGGGTGTGGGCAAGGAGTGTTGGAGGTGGCTCCCAGCAGCAACTCGACTGCTCTACCCTGTAACGAGAAACCACATGGGCCAGACACAGGGAAGGACATCACAGGGGGCCCTGTGAGGCTCAGCCTCCACCAGTAACACAACAGCAGCTTTATCTGAGCTCAGAAAACCTGGGGAAGAGCAATATCAGGGTTCATTCTGCACCCTGAAACACAGCTCCTTGTACGCAAGCGGCCACGGGGTGTAGGAGCAGCTGCAAATTCCCTGGCTCCTTCCTGATTTTATTTTTCACTCTATTTTAAAAGGAGGAAGTTTAAAATAAGAAATTTAAAAGCAGTAATTAAAAGGCCCTATGTGAGCAGAGCAGCTGACACTTCGCAGGGCTTGGGGGTTTTAACTCCCGGTTCTGGTCGGAGCTTCCACTCAGTCATTTCACCCAGGCACTGCTGGAATACTGCCAGAAAAGAACAGTGCTCTGGAGAAAAGGCTTCCATAATAAGTCATTAGGACACCATGACAACAACAGGCTCGAACCTAAATGAAAGGAAAATTATCGCTGCAATCCCAAAGAGAAAATGAGTCAATGCACGTAAGCACCTACTAGAGCCCTGCTTCCCAAAAATGCTGCTCAGTCTCAAAGCTGTGTGAAAATACAGCATTTGCACGATCCTCACAAATGAGAAAACGCTTAAAACTAAGTAAAGCTGTTTCAAAGGACACCTAAGCCAGCAGAGATCTAAGAGCTGGTGCTGTCAGGGACAGAAATCCCCATTACACGGCTTTGCGTGCTGCTAACCACCAAACCTACTCTGAATGATGGATGCTCAACAAAGAGTTTGTACAACTGTTATTTTAGTAATATAAAACCTATTTTTAGTACTGTCTTCCTCAGACCTTTTGCCCTGTTCCTGCAGGATGAAGGAAACCAAAGCTGAAGAGGAAACACGAGGTTGTTCAGCCAACAGGTAGGTACACATGGGTCCTTCTCCACCCCATCCTGGGGTTTGGAGAGGGATAACCTGGTTATGGAGAACCTGTCGGGCTCCCAACTCTGCCATCAGGGGGGAAAAGCAAGTGGAAACTTGGAAACCAAGCGTTGGTTGGGGCTGCCACGAGCTGAAGAACCCCAGCACCACGAGCTCCTGTGGTCCCTCCGGGTGAAATACGGAGACACCGTGCTCTGCAGGTCCACCCCCTGCTGGGCCAGGAATTCGGATAAACTCCCTCAATCTCACACACGCCGTCTGTTTTTGGGGGCACCTCAGCACGTCTGCGGGCAACAACCACGGGCACAAAGTCCTTCAGACCACACAGTTTGGACGAGAAACATGACACGTGGGAGGTACCGAAGGTGAACACACGAGACGAGTTCCCCCGAGAGGCAGAACAACACTCAGGTTTTACCTTGCCCAGCTCGGCTCTGACGGGAGTCTACACTTGCCTGTCTTCGGTCTGGTGGCTCCTCGTTCCCTCCATCTGCATGAGAACCAAAACAGCACAAGTAGAACATCATAGTGGACAGGTCAGGCAGATGCAACTTTTCCTTGAGTCCCATCACCTAATCTCGGGAGAAGGGCAGGACAGAAAGGTCCCTCTTGGCAGGTTGAATGTGGGGAAACACCACTGCCTGACTGCTGCTCCTTCCAGCTTCTCCCCAGCTCACTGCACATGGAATCCGTGAGGTCCTCGGGGTAGCAGGAGGATTTTAATTGCTCCTACTGACCCCCCCCAAGACATTTGAATGAAATAGGAACCAAATTGTGCATCTTCAACGAAAACTGTGCATCTTCAGCGAGTTCCTCCACTTTGGACCGTTATTATTATCTCAAAATATAAAAATATTGAGCATTGGAATAAAGAGCTCCAGGAGGGGAGGGAAAAAAAAAACGGAACTATGAAATTTGAAAGTGTGTCCCTCCAAAATTATTTGTCAGCTAAAAGCTGGGAAGGCTGGGAAGAACAGAGCCTCTCGTTACATCCTCTTGAAACTCTTTAGGAAAGCAGCCACAGCTCACAAATCCCAAACCCATCTGGAGAAATGCAGAGTGGGACGTTGGGTACAATATTATACAATTAATTACAGGCTGCTCTTCATTGATCAACTGACCAGATTAGAAACAATAGATTCACCCATCAATACAGATGCTCGAGTACACGGGATTTCTGGCAGCTGGGAGCACAAAGAAGCCCAGCTCTGCTCACTGGGGAAACAGCAAAGCCAGGGGTTTCAAGTGCAGGATGTTATTTCCAGTGGTTCTTATCCCTTATGGCAGGGGAAAGCTTTCAGAATCTTTAAAAGTAAGTTTTGAATTCTTAAACAGCTGCTTAAAACCTCAATAGTCGGGTTTAGCATCGAAGCTTTTTGATGCTACTAAAAGCAGCTGCACTCTGATATATTTATAACTCTGGATATCTCTAAAGGAGTTA